TGTAGTTGCTTCATGAAAATATCTGAGAAATTTGATTATTTGTTTGAATACATTTCAATCACTATCTGTAAATACATAGTTTTTTAATTCTTGGCTTAATAATAAGATATTCAATTGCCTACAAATATACAGTAAACTATTTAAATTATATTAAATAAATATTGAATAATATAATATAAACATACTGTTTTTAGCTGTATAGTATGTGCAATCATGTTATATGTTGAATTTCACTGAGTTTCTATATCTAAAATAGGTTTTAAAGCTTCTATTTGCTAATTTTTGTAAGCATCATTTAATTTTTCCAGTCGATGAGATGATTATCATATTTTTACAACCAGTTTTCATAACTATATATAAATAGATTAGTAAATATAAAAAACATTATACTGTAAATACTGTATAAGCTTACTTGTTTTATATTTTCTTCTAATATATTTAAAGCTTCTTGTACACTTAAATTAATAACATGCGTGAAACATCGTAAATGGTTTTTTGCTGCATTAAATGATATTACTTGTGTTTTACTCCACTCTTCTATTAATTTAGTGAATACAACATTATTTGTAGCATTATTAGTCAAAATCTTTAAAATTAAATAAACTGTTTTAGTCTTTTATTATATTTATTTTAAATATATAAATAAATTTACCTTTGTTTGAATTATAAAAATTTTTTTAAATATAATAAAAATACTTCTTTAATATTTTCACTCGAATGGGTACCCACAGCTATATAAAGTCTATTATTATACTCTGCATTACCAATATTTATCGATAAAATAAGCAGTTATGCCTAAAAATACTTTCATAGAAACTGATGTCCAAATATCAGGTATAAATAAAATACGGCTTTCTATTTCTTGCAACATCTTTTGAATTTTTTCTTGATCATTTAAATAAAAGTCCATTATATAGGTCTTAATAGAAGTAGCCGATAGTATTTTTGTATCTGGTGCTAATGTTTGGATAAAAGCAAAGAAAGCTGGTTCTTGGACAACTATAAAAGATTGCTGGTTGATAATGATCTATTGAACAAGATTTTTTTTCATTTTTGTTAAGTCATATGTCCACTATATATAAATTCAAAAAATTAATGATATTTTTTTCAAAAATTCAAAAATTATTTAAAATTAACTTTATTTTAAAAAAATTGGCAATTTTAATGTTACCAGTTATTATATTTAATTTGTTGGGTGAGTTTTTTCAAGATGTTTCATTAGATTAGAAGTACTGCCTTTACTAAAAGTATATATCATCCTGCAATATTTACAAGTAGCCTTCCTGTCCTCTTTAAAACTTGCACTTCTTGTAAAGTGCTTCCATACTTTACTTCTAGAAATTTTTTGAGATAACTGAGGCCGATTCTGATGGATTGTTTGTATTAACATTTTCAATATCGATATTGTTATGGCTAGTTAAACTGCTACTTTCATTGTATACAATTTGTATGCTATCAAATGAATTTTCATATTCCATTTTTAAAAGAAATAAATTAGCAAAATAAAGAATACAATGTAAGTAATTAAGCAGCAAAACTATAATATCATAAAGAAAGATTAAAAAATCATCAAGAAGAGCAAAGTATTGAATTTTTTTTAACTTGCCTTTTATATTGTTTTTTTAAAAAAAAAATTATTTTAATTTCCTAGATAGTTTAATTTTAATTTTTTAGATAGTTTGTTTAAATGAAATTAAATAATTATATAACAATTTATATGACTGGTGCATATCTAATTTGAATTATATTGGGTTTGATCTGAATCCAATTTGAATCTGATAATTTTGTAAATTTAAAATTCGATTCGATCTGAATTAAAAATTTTGAAATTTGATTCAATCTGATTCATATCTGATTTACCGATCAATTAGATTCGGATCAAAATTGTGAACATTAGATATATATATATATAATTTATGCTAAGACTACCTATATTAATCAAATTTAGTTTGATAGAAATACTTATCCTCATGGCTTATTGCCATTCTAGAAGAGAGCAACTTATTAAGGTTGAGTTAGTACTGTATAAAATTTTAAAGATATATGATAAGTATATATTATTCATATTGTATTTCTTGATAAGTATTAACCAAATCAATATTTGATTTGTAATTTGTCTTTTTATTTTATTGAGCTAGTCATATTTGATAAGTGTATTGTATTTAATATTTTTTCTTACTTTTGGATAATTTCTTGTTAAGTTTTATATTTTTAAAAATCTTTATATCTTGATTTTTAGATTTGATAGAGATAATGACTTATCTCTTATCTGATTTCCTTGAGACATTGACATATGCTTCATTTGTTTTGAATATAGTGTATTATTGTATAATAAGTTTTCTTTAGAATCATCTTTTTAATTGCAGTCTTGGGATATTCAGTACATTTTAAAGATGTGTGGTTTTTATATTTGAAAATTTGTGTTTCAAGGTTTTTTATCATACTATACTGTCTTGGTTTTTTGACTATAAAAGTCTCTATCAGTTTTTTTGTTTCTTGTTATTGTTTTTAACATGTGAATGAGTGGGTGTTGGTCTTTTTTTCTTTATATTTGATATATTTGTCATTTGCATATAGGTTTGATAAGTGTGAGTAAAGTTTGGCTTTGATAGGTAGTTCTTTATTCCAGAGATACAAATTAAATTTTCTCTATTGCTGGTCTTCCTAATTGATATGCTATTCATTTATTTGCATGGGTTATAATAGAATCATTGTTGTTAACCAATGAATTTGTCTAATAATTCTATTACTAAATTTAGTTCTTGTTTTATTGAATAGTTTCCATTTTATGAAGTATGTAACTATCATAAGTTCTTGAATTATTTGTTTATAGAACTTCTAAGATTCTATTGTCTCATTGTAGAATGAATATAAATTGTAAGCCATATTCTTTATTATATATTATTGTGGGCTAATCCGACAATTCCGTCACTACTTCATAGTGCCTTATATACCTCAAATGACTAACAAATACTCCAACTGATACAAAGAAAAGCATGCCTCCTGTAAAGAACACTTAGAAAAGGCAGAGACGTGATGATTGACTTGACTAAGAGTAAATATCTCTTTATTCATATTCTATTTCTTTTAAATAATACTAACTATTACGTGTTTTATATATTTGTAGATTTATTTAAATTTGTGATGAAAAAATATCGCGTCGATTTATCCGTAAGACATATCCGGCTGTGCAACACGAACCGGCGATCGATTGGGAAAATAAAATCTAAACTAACCCATATTTTCTTGCTGTTTTTGCATGCGCATTATGGTGGGTCGTGGTGTCGATTTAAAGGTAAACAACCATTAGGAATCACGATGGCAGGCAATACGCAAAGAAGCCTGGATCTCGTGTTCGGGTTCGATGACGCTAATGCAGAATTGCTTGAAGTTTACGAGATAGCGAGTCATGATCTGATGACAAATGCAAAACTGTTTTCTGACGGGAAAACTTCAGTATGATTCACGAGTGTTATAAGAAAAATTCACATAGTAGTTTTGAATTATTTTCCGCCCTTATAAGAAAAACCACATCACAAGCAGTCAGTGCAAATTTATTTTTCGAAATTCATAGAGAAATGAACCACCTGCAAACACTCCTATCCTGATATAACAAATTATAAATACTTTGCAATAAAAAGGTGTTGTACATAATGACTTTATATAAAATTAATCTATTTTGTCTAACAACACCTAAAAAATTTTTTCAAGTTCTTGGATTAGGCTATCGTACTTCAAGCCCTCTGCATCTTGAAAAATTTTATTCCACAATTCTGATTCGGCATTAGACTCCCAAAAGGCCAATATATTTTGCGCCCGTGAGCTGATGTTATGACTTGTTCCAAAGGAAATTCTTTCCACATTTGGCGGTTTATGAAGCATCAGGTAAAACGCCTTTGCCAAACATATCAAGTCAATTCTCCCTGAATAAGTTATCTGTACCCCGTCGGCCAATGATGCCAGGATATCGTTGGGCATGCATTCAAGTGCGCCCGCAAAAGGCCCAGTTTCGTCTATTGTTGCGCTGTATCCCCAATCAATAATCAAAATGTCACCTTTGTCATTGCGGAGAAAGTTGTATTTTCGAATATCCATGTGTACAAGATTGAATTTTGAATGGAGAATCTTGAGGGTGTTGATAATGTTTCCGATATCCTCTTTTCGGAGATTATTTACTTTTGTACAAAGAGGAGCTGTAACAAGGATGCCCTCATTGTTTAGGAGAGGGTCTGAAGATGAGGAGAGTTCAAACTCGATAAAGCTTCCAGTGCTGTTTTTTCCTTTTCAAAACAAGACCAATATTTGTCGCTTTTTGCTATTTTCGCCACCACAGATATCCCATCATTAAGCTTTCCTTCATATACAATGCTAGTCCTTCCTGTACTGATGGGTCGAACCAATGTGACAGTATCTGAACCGAAGTTTAAAGATGACTCGATCCATCCAAGCTGATCCGGAGAACATTCCATAATCGTTACGAGGTGTTGCCACCCAGGTGGAGGGAGACCCCTAGTTTCGTAAGTTAGCTTATATGGTGTTGTGTACTCATACGAGAATCGGATATTGTCATGGGTATTTCTGTCGTTCTTCTTCACCTTATAGATACAAATAACCTTGCAATCTGTCAACACCACATATACGTAGGCTCTCCGAGGCTGAATTTGAAGTAATTTTTCGCCAAATGACATCGCATGTCCTATATCTGCATTTGAGAATCTATTGCCGGCGCATTTTCCGATCTCACCAACAGCTACGACATATAATGCGTTTAGAGGACTCCCTTTTTGAATAAAAGCGAAGTCCGGCTTTCTGGTAGCCAGCAACGGAATATAATGGGTGTCTTCAACTACAAGTTTTGTACTCCTTGATAATGCTTTGCATTCGTCAATAAAATATTCTTGTAATATTTTTTCTGGGACCTCGGCGCCAGGCGGGCTACTAAACCTTCCAAGTGCTTGTCTCCGAGTCGACGCAGTCAGTTGAATTGGGAAGGACATATGGGTACCGTGGTTTCTCACATAAAGCTCCTCAGTTTCCGTAGCGGTAGCTAAACACAAATATTCGATTATGTTTATAGGAATGGTGATGGATTGTACAAATCTGATTAATGACATACCTGGAGCACTAAGCCAGATCTCAGTATTAAGTCGTGTTCTCTTTACTTCATAACGTACTGAACTTATTTCGGTTTTGATTTCATCCAAATGTCTCTTCAGAGACAGTGTTAACTCTGTTTATGTAAGCAAGATAAAAGAGGGTGTTAAGATTATTACGACTCACGAGTAGCAACAGTTGGTTCTATGATAACGTAGATGTGTTTTGGGTGGTGTTGAAAATAAGAAACAGGAAAGAAAAGCACAAATTAGTCAACGTCGCAAACAGTATATCAAAATACGACAGTGAGGGAAATTAATGTGTGGCGTGAGCAGTAAGCAAGAAAAGCTAGGATAATAATTACCAGTAGGGATTTCAATGATTACATGAATATGTCGCTTTGGTGGTGCGGACCAGTAATCTCCTATGTCTCGAGTCGCGAGGAGTTCGACTTGCAATGCAGGGTCCGCTAACAAATCATCACGATCATCCGAGATTTCGACCTGCCAAAGCCTTAGGTTTTTGGCGTCAACGTGGGCAAAGTCGACGGCATTCTTCGCCTTTATTGCGTCCTTGAGCGCACTAATAGACTCATCCCTACCAATCTGAACTTCGAAAGCGTGCTGGGCAGGTGTCTTTCCTTTTTCTAAGCAAAAGAGTTTTATCATATTTGGGTTTTAGAATGTATTTGTGTAACTATAGTATGGACGGACAGGAAGTACGAAAAAGGATTTTCTTCACAAACTTGATTAGTCCCTGATTGATGACGCATATGGTCACATGACTGATCACAAAAAATTACTCTCTTTATTATCGGATTTTTGATAAAGAATTTCCAACTGTAGAAAATGCCTAAATACAAGATAAAGCTTTGACCTAGCACGACTGCATGGGAGAGAAGCTGGTGCGCCAGTGGAAGCCAGCTCCAAAGCTTTGCCCGAAGGCAATGACTACCCCCTATTATCTTGCCCTGCTAGGTCCAGCGCTATCACTATTTTCTTCCTCCTCCCACTTTCCGGTTCACTATCTATCTCGCCATTCTGTTTTGATGCCCATAATTTTAATTAATCAAGTGAATAGTTTAGACTTAAGATTAGTGTTCACAATTTTGATCCGAATCTGATTGATCCGTGAATCAGATATGAATTGGATCGGATCAAATTTTAAAATTTTTAATCCGATCAGATTTGAATCAAATTGAATTTTAAATTTACAAATTATCAGATTCAAATCGGATTCAGATCAAATCCGATCAGATTCAAATCAGATTCAGATCAAACCTGATATAATTCAAATCAGATATGTATCAGTCCATATAAATTGTTATACAATTATTTAATTTTATTTAAATTAAACTATCTAGAAAATTAAAATCGAATTGACATAATGTAATATATAATTGATGTAATAAGTAGACAGCAATTATATATAATATATAATTATGACATCCATAAATATAGCTTCTTCTTTCTTTTTTTTCTT